CAAGCAGGCGTTCATGAAACCGCTCAGCATATGTAGACTGATCATCAGGGCGTGCACACTGCGGCTCCACGACAAGGATGCACTCATTGTCCTCCGGTCCGTCTATGCGGACGGCGTCGACGAAGGACCTCGTAAGTTCCTCAACCTCCTGGGCTATGCCAGGGGCCAGGGGCGCGGTGCAAACACTTGGGGCACTGCCCTTTGCACGCTTTGCTGCCCATGAACGGCCAACTGTTCGCTGCACTCATGTGAGTGAGGCTGACGGAGCAATCCGGCACAAGCTCCAAAAGCGTCGCATGGGTAAGGATACCCGCCGCAACAGATCTATGTCTGTTGGCCTTGCAAACAACATGCACGGCTATGGACCGAATCCCAGCATCCTTGGCGTCGAGGACGTTCGCCAAGATGTGCCTGACGTGGGCAATCAAATTGGGATGGTCTGCGTGCTCCCGAATTATATCGGGGTTTGACCCAACATGCTTTGTGCGGTCGCGCTGTTCATCGTTGCGCTGCTGGGCTTCGGCAGGCGTCAGATCGTCTTTGCGATCGTCCTTTAGCCACACCATGTCCAACATCACCAGCATATAGCTGGTGGCAGATGCATACGTCGTGGTCGCATGCGTTTCCATCTCTTCGTGCTGTGCGAAGAGCTCGGCTGCTGTCCACTTCCCTCTGACGCGTTGCAGCCAGGCATGGTGCTCATAGCCCCAGGTAAAAACATCAATAATGATGTCCGGGTTCGCTGTGTCCCCCGCATAATACGGCTGCAAGGCCAAATCCGGATTATACACGGATGCTGGGAGAGGCGCGTCGAGCTCCGGACCGTGGGGTCCTCCACCTGCCATTATAACCAGGGGCCTGCCATGCGGGTCCTTCTTCACAACCGCATCAAACTCGGCCAGCTCGCGGTGCCCTCTTGCAATCTCCTTCGGGTGCACTGTGGCACGAGCTGCTGGCGGGATTCCTGGGCTATCCCCAGGCCTGGCCTTCTCCGTGGGAGGCGCCTTCTTGGGCAGTCCACTTCCAGGCGGCGCCTTAGGCGCAGGCGCGGAGAATGTGCCTCCTGCCGGTGCGGCACTGTGGCCGACCGCTGGTGACTTCGCCATGGCACTGTGGCCAGGGTCCGGCGCTGCAAGAACCTTCGGTGCAGCCTTTGCCGTTGGGGGCGCCTTCTTAGGCAGCTGCCCCTCTGCTGCGGCCATCGCGGCGGGCTCCGTGTCTCCTACGGACGTGCCTACCATGCAATGGTTCGGAAACGCTACGCTTATGCGTCGCTTGGTGTTGTTGCGATTCTCAGCTGTCGTTGTAAAGCTGTGACCGTGGCCTACGCCTACAGTGCTATGACCATGGCCTGCATCTACAGTACTGTGACTGCGACTTGTTGCCACTGCGTCATCTGCCGCTGTTGCATCTCGGGGTGATCCGCTCACGGACTCTGAGTGAGCTAAGGCGGCGGCGGCGGCAGACCTAAATATAGGAACTGGCGGCGAGGGAATTTGGAAGCTCTTTATGAGACGGGGTTGTTTCACCTGGGTCAAGCCTTCTGTTATGTTTATGCATAACAGCCCTGAGTCATGTGTCCGACACAGCTTGATCCTAATGATGCTATCCTCTGAAGGAAGTCTAACACCACACTCACCAAACCGAAGATCTTTGGTTATACCAAGCTGGGCCTGCGCGTAAAGGGACAAAAGGAGAGGGGCTGTACCCTTAATCTCATGCGAATCAAGGACGCCCGGAACTCTCAAGTCCTGCTCCAATCCCATTATAGAGAAAGGTATGGTCCTGCTACCCAAGGTCTCGGTAGCGCCGCTAAGACCCTTGAAGGTACGATTGCCCTCAGGTTTAAACCTCGTGCTGTAACCGAAGTTCGCAAGTTTCCCCGCCGCGTTTGCTATCCAATCGCTACCGTGAACAGTCGAGTTACAGCCCTCATCCAACACGGCGTATACGTGCTTATCCTCGTAGATATTTACTACGGGCAAATCAACCAAAGCCGGATGGATATCTGTGACCCCCTCAGTGAAAGCCACGAAGGCGTGCCTCGTCGCGGAGGCCCTCGAGGAGCGCGATCTCGCCGACGCCACTTCCCAACTGTTGTTGGTCGATGGCGCAGAGTGATCGTCTAAGGCCTCTTGCAGGTATGCGAGAAGGTCACCGCGGGATATCACGGGCTCGGTTACGAAGTGACCCTCTATGGTCTCTTGAAACTGGGCAATAGCCGGAACTACTACCTCTACGGGGAGGCTATCCCCCGTGCTGCCGACTATGCTGCGCAGAAGATCGAAGTCCAGGGTGTTGGACTCCCGCAGCACTGTGGCTGCGTCATCCCTAGCCTTTCGCTCGGTCTGCGGCTGCTCATCTAGAAGCATCCCACAAAGCTTGCACTTAATGCGGGAGGTCTTCCTACTGCTACCCGACCTCTCGGTGGAGGTGTGGGGGCATGTGGCCTGGTCTATGACAGGCTTCTCTTTCTTCGTCTTGGTGACGGTGCCGCATTTCTTACAGGTCCGCATGTCTATGTATGCGTTACTCCCCGACTTGTTGAACTCCTTGCAACCTCCCCGGCATTTCCGGGGGCCTTCGCTGGACGAAGCAGCTGACGCGGCGAGGCGAACCTCGGGCTGGAAGGGTTCAGGCGGGGGTTCCTGGCTGAGAGGGACATCCCTTCTCGTGATGCTAATGGGGTTATCATCACGCACATCAAAGTATTCCGTGACCCAATCCAAGAAATCGGCCAAATTTATGGATGGGCACTTCTGCGTGCGTCCCCAAAGAACATACCCAGGAAACGTATACAAGACACGCTCATAAGTCAGACCCTTATGCTGACCAAAGGAGAAAACGCGATCGGAACCCTCAGGCGGGCTGTCACGCATGATCCCTAGCGGCGGCTGTGCGCCGAAGCTGTGGTGAGAAGAGGGTTTCATTGCCGCGGCCTTTGCCGGTATTGGTCTTTGAGGGAGTCAGCTCAAGGTTGGCTGGGTAACCCTCGAGCCTACCAGCGCTCGCATTCGACAGATGGACACACTCTGTGTCATCCTCCTCCACTGCGGCGAAATACGCCTGAGGCTTCGGCGCCGCCGACTTTGCGGCTGCATTGGCAGTTCCCCCAGACTGTGCTGGGGTTGCGGTGCCCTTGGAGCCATTGCCCTTACCGCTAAACTTGCAGGCAGCATCTCCGGCCCAATGGCCGATCACACCGCACTTCAGGCACCTACTCTTTGCCTTAAGCTCTGCTAACTTGGCCTTACGGTCAGCAATGGTCAAATTGCTACGCACGACCTTCCCTCCGGATTTTCCGGGGGACTTGCCCTTGTTCTTCCCCTTTCCTTTTCCTTTCGCCTGGGCAAAGGCGGTCTGTGCCGCGTACGCAAGCTGAACTGACTCGGCATAGGAATCATCCAAATCGTCAATCTCAGCTTCATATGCCACTGCCGTATAGGCGTTGAGTTGCAATGCTAGATCCTCATCATCAATCCATTCATCCGCATCATCTCCCCCAGACGCTGTGGCCTGGTATGCTTCTTCGCCGTAGCCGTCACCGTAGCCTTCCGCGGATTCCTGCTGTTCCTGGTAACCATACTCTGCGGCACTACCATCATACCCCATATAGCCGAACTTAGGGTATTGGGGCTTAGCGTCGAAACGTCTCCAAGTCTTACCTGGGCCACTAGGGTCCTTCTGGGTAAGAAGACGTTCCTTCATGTGCACCACTGAGTGATGCTGAACAAGGACGCGTGCGTACTCATCCACGCTGTGTACGCGGGCGGCGGTCTTGACCATTAGCTGCTCGGACCTTTCCAACCCTGAAAGCTCAACGAGGAGATTAGCCCTCATTGCTTCAGATAGGCGGATATCAGGATCCAGCTCACGCAAGGTCGACCACCACCGCTTTCGGCGGGCTATGTAAGACAACATAGGCTCGCCAGGTTGCTTTGCAAGTGGGCCCGTCAGGAGCTGTCCCTGACGGAAAAGTTCGGACGCCTCTTCGGATTGAAGAGGGAAGGCTTGCCTCCTGATTTCTTCTATCAGGTAGTCGACGCCGTCATGGCGAAGCAGACGTTCCAGGCCGACGTCGCGAGCGATGCAAAAGGCATCTCCTCGGAGACCCTCTAGGATCTTGCTGACGCATTCGCTCATGTCGAGCGACTCGTCCTTGACGTCTTGCAAGGTGTACACCGCCGGATCTGTGTCCGGCTCTTGCTCATCGTCGCCCGCCACTTGGCTGGGGTGCGACGGTAGCGACTCCGCATCCTCATCTTCTGCCTCGGACGCGGGCTTAGTCCGTTTTGCGCTGGACGGACTGGCGGGTATACCGCTGCTTCCATCACCATCTGTGGGCGATGCGCTGGTCCCCTGACTTGCCCTGCCACGCCACTTCCTTGGTGACTCGCTCTTGGCCCTTGCCGACTCGGCAAAACGCAGGTCCTTAAGAGCTTCGCGCCGCTGCTTCTCCTTATGCTGCAGCACACGGATCTGTGTCCGGAAGCACCAATCATGGAAGCCAGCAGCCGTACCGTCGTATATGTACGATCCGCTTTTGGTTTCTGCAGGGCTCAGGTTCTGTGACCAGAGATTGGGCTGGTAACGCAAACCTGCCACGCTCATGGCTTCGAGTATAGAAGGGGCCTTTGCGCCGCGACTATCACTACACTACCCAACGGACCCCGGACCACAGGCTCAACGGGGGTGAAACACTAGTGGTTGTCCTCACAGCTCCGCTACCAGTTTGAAGCAGGAACTGGATTAGTGAGTGTCCAACCACACAAACGAGCACACTTTTTGGTCTGAGCCCAAGACGTCTGTCGTACAGGGTGCGTTCAGAACTAACACAAAAACTACGCTCGCATGAGGACATGTCAACACGGCGCTTCAAGACAGGGAAATTTCACAACCCTAAACCCCTACACCCTAAACCCTAGACTCTAAACCCTAAATCCCTAAACCCTAGACTCTAAACCCTGAACCTCTAAACCCCTTAGTGATGGCCCGGCTGCTTGCGCTTCTGAAATTCCTCGCCAGCTTCCTGGAAAGCCGCCTTCAGGCATGAGAGGTGTGAGTGTGGTTCAGGGTTGAGGGATCAGGCCTTGGGGTTTAGGGTGGCTTAGGGTCTATATAAAGGGAACTCCAGAAAGTTGGAATATGGTTTCATGGTAGGATACCCTATAATTTACCATAGAAGGGTTAGGATAATCATATTCCAACTTTCTGGCTTCTACTGTAGGGTTTAGGGGATTAGGGTTTAGGGGTTTAGGGTTTAGCGTTGTGGTTGAAGCTAGGGATGTAAGGTGTTAGTGCGTTTGTTTTAAGGCTAAAGCTTCCTCAGGCTTCTGAACCGTTCTATCAGGGCGTTGTTGTAGAAGGGCGTTCCAAGTTCATTTTAGGGTGCGGGGCTCAGGAATTTCCAATTGGGGTACTAGGCTCAGAAATGTAGGCTATGGAGTTTGGGGTGTTGCGAATTATGTGCTGGAGCTCAGAAGCGCATCTATATACACGCATATTTATCTATCTATGTGTGTATACATATATATATATATATACACATATATACACATAATTACACTTACAGTCCATACATATGCTAAAGGCATCCGATGGCCGGACCTCCTCCGCTCGAAGTGCAGCAGACCAAGCGGTATGCCAGCCCAGGCGCACCAGGGCGTGGGCAACCTTGGGACCCCTTAAACCAAGACCCTCCTTGTGCCCTCAAACAGGGGTATATGGGGGCTGTTCTAAATTATGGTCCCTTTTTGGGTACCCTATATAATAACGACTATACTACTATAGGGCCCCAAAAAGGGACCATAATTTATAACAACCCCCATATGGCCCCCAAATAATGGGCATTTAGGGTCTAATGGAGGGTCTAAGCAAAAAGAGTGCCTTTAAGGGTGCCTTGGAGGGTTCCCGTAAGGGTGCCTTTAAGAGCCTAAGGGTTCCTGTAAAGCAACCGTGGCTGGAACCTCCAAAAGCTCAGCAGCAGCCCTTAACGGAACTCCACTATGGAGACCTTACAGGAAACCTCAAAAAGAGCCCTTAAAAAAGGCTTTCAAGCGAAATCTTGAGCGTTTTGGGGCTAACTCATCCCAACAAAACCCTAAAGCCCAAGTCCTCATTTGGGGTTTACTTAAAGGATAATGGGACTTAGTAAGTAGGGTTATAAGTAGGTCATAGTGAGGATAACCCCACTTAGGGGACTTATAACCCCAGTTATAACCTAGCCAAGGGGAAGCGGGTTTGCAGTGTTTCAGGAGAAGCTGCTTTAGGGCTGAGCTCTACAGGTTTGACACTATCGGGATTGCCGGGCTGTGAAGTTGAAGGTAGCTAGGTTTAGGGTTTCGGGCTAAGGTATATTTAGGGTTTAGGGTAGAACTGAAAGATGAGACGTGGCTGCGAAATGCCGAGAGTTTTTGTTTCCGACTGCATCCCGGGCGCATTGAAGGGCATTTCGGATAGTGCACCATCCTCGTCTTCCACGTAGACATCGTGCTGTGGGTAGGTGGTCATGGCTCGTGAGCTGTACGCTGCTCTACACACTTAAACTCTTAGCTACCCTGCATGGGTTCACCATAAACCCTATAGACTATACTTTGCCGGAATGAATTCGGACACTCATACACTGGCTTCGGCTCCTTTGCCTTCGAAGCCCCAGACCCGTACCCGTTTGGGTTCCGCAAGGGCTCCTACCCGGGGGGTTTTCCACAAGGCCTCGGATAAGGACTCCTATTCAAGCCCAGACCTTCCAAAATCCCTTAATTAAGGAATATACCTTAATTCATATTTGGGATCCGATTATAATTTAAAGTATATTCCTTAATTAAGGGATTTTGGAAGGTCTGGGAGCTGTTGTTGGTCAGGTAATTAGCCTTCAAGCTGCACAGGTTCGCATTACACATCTAAAAATGACATGGCATGCAACAGCACGAGCCCTGTTCCCTAGCACAGGATGGGGTCAGGGTTCACAGCGCAACGGAAGCTGTGGAGTTTAGGGACGGCGGGGTAAACCAAGCGCATTTCATAACCCCAAGCCCGATAATGCCAAAGCCCAAGCCTACATCCACAGAGAATCCTAAACCCTGAACAACCCTAAACCCTAAACCCTCCCAAAGCCCTGAAACACTAAACTTCATCCACAGAGAATCCTAAACCCTGAACAACCCTAAACCCTAAACCCTAAACCCTCCCAAAGCCCTGAAACACTAAACTTCCGACATCTTCGACCCTTAGGTCCCCTTTGGTATCCCTGGGGGAGGACCTGTCTGATGCCGATGGGGTGACAAACAAATGACCCGAGACAGTTTTTATCACCCTCAGCTCTAGCCAGATGTTTTTGAGTTTAGGGTTTACTATACCCCCTTAGAACCATCATAATAAAATCATTCTTTTAATATTCTCGTGGGTTTAACCCCGGTCCCTGAACCCGTATAAACCCGTAAAGAACACCAAAGTGCTCAACGCGGGGGGTGACTGATCCGCCAGCCTCTCGCAAACGTCTACGAGGGGACTGACCTTGGCTGTGACGTGATGCGCCTTCATGATTGAAAGCAGGGTATTGAGCAATTCTGGATAATATGACACGAACATGATTTAAGAGGTGTTGGGCCAATATGTTACTTACCTCTGGGCGTTTAGATAGTTCTACAGGGATCTCAGCTCCATGATGACGAAGTGAAGTCCCCCTGAGCCACATCCCTCAACAGCAACCTGTAAACGCGACTAAAACAAACAACCGCCGATAAACTCCCGCTTCTTATTAGTAACAAATCCCTGGGCACCGAACAAACGCAAGCCGAAAGCCCGCAGCAGCACTGTAATACGCGATCCTTCGCTGTTGTTTCGTCATGAATACAGCTCGAACTCAGAGTTTAGTCCAACTTCAGACCCTACCCCAAGGGTCCAAAGGACCCAATCATTAGGCACCCGGTCTTAGGATAGTAGTCATGCAGGCTAGGATTTGGAAGAGTATATGATGATTGGGTATTTGGACCCTTGGGGCTACAAATCTTATACCCTGACGCCGTAACTAAGCCTCTGGCTCGGTTCGGGTCTGCTTTCGGGACCTGCAGCCGCGTGGAGCTTGGGAGGACGTTTGCTACGAGGCGCAAAGCATCGCTTTTGGGCATGGGGGGCGTCGATCTTAGGTTCTTAGCGCTGATGGAGCTTAAGTTTTACGGCTTCGAGTTTGGGTTTTGGGGTTTTCTAAGGGCTTGATACCGGGCTGCATAGGCAAAGTAGTGATTAGGGGCTTGGGGCTGTTGCAGCTTATAGGGCTCATACTAGATTGATATAGAGCCTGAACGATTAGCATGGGGCCGCATGGGGGCTCCAACCGCACAAACCCTAATCTAGCATAACTGGGGGAGTTTCTGTAAAGAAGAGACCCTTTTATGGAAACCGTTCACCCAGGAGGCAATTATGAGATAGGACCAGCATTCCTACTCAACCGAAAACGACGAATCCTAAGACTATGTCCTTCTTTACATGACGTAGTTGCTTAGTTGCCCTAGACAACGTGAGCCTGCACACACAAAATCCTTTAGATTCAAGATCACCTTATCATGAAGCCTTACGTGCATAACCAAGACCACCCAGACCTTCCAAAATCCCTTAATTAAGGAATCTACCTTAAATTATAATAGGATCCCAAATATGAATTAAGGTATATTCCTTAATTAAGGGATTTTGGAAGGTCTGGGAGCATCTTGGGGTATAAGTCTTGTATGAAACGGCAACGATCGAGAATGGATACTATAACTGGCTATATCCCGACATCTATATTAACCTGCAGGCCTCGGGTAAGCGCTCTCCCCGGCGGACAGCTGCATTGGCCTTCGAACAAGTTCATGAGAAGGACACGAAAGAGAGTCGCGGGCTCGCGGGTTCAGAAGATTTGGCTTGAGGGCTTTCACCCAGACCTTCCAAAATCCCTGAATTAAGGAATATACCTTAATTCATATTTGGGATCCTATTATAATTTAAGGTGTATTCCTTAATTAAGGGATTTTGGAAGGTCTGGGCAGGTTCAGGGAACGGAGGGTTCGGTTCAGGGGCTAATTAATCTGGTTAAGGCTAAGGTAAAAGCCAGAAAGTTGGAAGATGATTATCCTAACCCTTCTATGGTAAATTATAGGGTATCCTACCATGAAACCATATTCCAACTTTCTGGAGTTCCCTGTAACAGGATTTAATCCTGGGCCAGGGCTTTGGAGAAGCAACATGATGTTCTGCTCACGGCTATATAAAGTGAACTCCAGAAAGTTGGAATATGGTTTCAGGGTAGGATACCTTGTAGTTTACCATAAAGGGTTTAGGATCATCATATTCCAACTTTCTGGCTTTTACTTTAAAGTGTAGTGAATCGTCGAATGCTGGAAATTTTAGAAGTCAAGCGTCTAAAGAAACAGGATCGGTCCGATGCACTTTAAAAGAACTCTTATCAGGTCCCTTAACCTACCGAAACCTACTTTTTTTGAAGGGTCCCTATAAATTCCATGTTAGGGTTTATGTATGAAAACCTACAAAAAAGTAGGGTGTGGTAGTTTAAGGTCCTTATCAGGGGTAGTACACCTACACGCCTGCACCTTGCACCCCGAACCGTCAACCGACAGATTTCAACTCGACGCACTTTACACGACACACGATGCCGTTGCACAGCCCTCTAAACTGCCCCGAGCCAACAAGAACCACAAACCCATCATGAACCTTAAACCGTATGCCCGTACCGAACCCTCACAAGTACACATGCAGTTTGCTTTAGAGAAAGTCGCTCCACCTCCTCCAAGTGGCGCATTGTGATCTTCAGCTGGGCCTCGTTGGTCTACTGTTTAACATTCAAGAGGGTACCAGCTTTCGGGTCTAAAGTCTAAACACAGCACCTACTTCAGGCTACCTGGAGTTTCGGCTTTAGGTGTAACGTTTGACGCTCAGGGTTTCCGGTTTGACGCATTGGGGTTGAGGGTCTAGGGTTTCCAAAACCCTTGAACACGCTCTTTTGTACAGCGCTGGCGACTTCCATGAAGCGAACCTGAAATGCGAACCAAAGGAATGTACTCGAGCTGCGTCAAGCACGACTGAGGTACCAAATCTCCGTGGTGTATGCTGTGCACCGCTAATGCGAGATGATCAGAGCGAAGTTGAATGAAAGCGGTACTTCTGGAAAAAAATCTGGTATCCATTGGAGTACAAGGCAAATTCCTTTATTCCGGCGTTGGGGGTGCTGCGGTGGCTTTCGGCTACCCAAGTTCAAGTTCTGAATAGTCCCTGGGCTCGTTTAGAAAATTTAAGGCACACAGCTCCAAATTTAGGTGTTTGTTGGCGACTTGTCATCTCGGTCTTTTTCTCGGTCTCTTCTTGGATATACGAGCACCTTGACCCTCGAGGCACCTAGCCCTGGAAAGGGTCTAAGGCCGTTCTATCTATCAACAGACTTTGAAAAATGCTCGCACAAGAAATCCTCGTCGTCTTAGGAGCGATAAAGGTAGGTTCAAAATGTACCAAAGACCTACTTCGGCTTCTCAGAACGTAGACTCTCGACTGTTGGCTCATGCTGCAGCATGTATCGAACCGTTTTCGCCAAACCGAAATCTCATAGATCTGGGAATTTCAGAGTACGTGTGGGTATCCGATACAAAAGACCAGAAATCAAATGGTAGGATCGTTATGAGTATGACACAGGCGGGCTCGCCTCTGAACCCCCCAATAGTCCCAATACCACTCAAAAACGAACAGCAGAAGCAGTGATACACCTATACGGAACTTAGAACCCTAGCAAAAATTATTTGAGATTTTAATAGCCAAAAACTTAAAAAATCTAAGTACCCCTAAGATGACACAGCCAAGCAGCAAGATGACAGAGACCAACCAAAGCAATAACACCAGAACAACGATCAGAGGAAACAACAACACCCTCCACTTTACCCGAAGTGCGCACCTGAGACCCAGAGCGATCCTGCTGGCTCCGTCAAAGGATGAAACTAAGACCCCAACGAATCACACTGTTTAGCAGATGAAGCTGTAAAAGATCTTCGGTACCTGAAAAGACAAACTGCTGCGACCTGACGCGTACAAGCAGAGCTGCCCACAGGTTGGGCGAGGTTCCGTGTATGCGGCGGCCACAGCCCATCCTACCCCACCGCAGACAACCCCGGACCGCCACAGTGGCAGCACCACCACTATCACCACCAACAACAATGACCTAAGCCGAACCTGTAAACCCATAGACCAGTACACCCTTTCCTGAAGTCTAAACCCCTAAACACTATCTATCAATCGATCTAGTCTGTCTACCTATCTATCTATCTCTCTCTCTCTCTCTCTCTCTCTCTCTCTCTCTCTCTCTATCTATCTATCGATATATATATATATATATATATCTCTCTCTCTCTCTCTCTTCCCAAAGGGTCCAAAGTACCGATATAGTAGAATGTAGGGTTTCTATATTGGGAATTACTATTATGATTGGGGGAAGTATTCCCCATAACAGTACATAGGACCCTTTGGGCTTATATATATATTTATATATAATGTACATATATATATATATATATATATATATACACACATGTGTGTTATGCAATACAAAACCAAAGGCCTTCGAGCAAATAGTGCCCTGGACAGCGTGCATCCGCCGCTGCGCATCGGTCTGCACGGCGATCTTCGCCTTTTTTCCAACAATTCGTCAGGGTTCCAGGGGTTTAGGGCTTAGGGTAGGTTACTGGGCTGCACAATATGTCCTTGGTAACCTACTGTTTAGGTAACTGGACCCCCTGGGGGTTGGATGTCGTATGATGTCTTCTTCCGGCGCCCTTAGTGCTGAGTGTATAGGGTTTGGTGGGTTTTGAGAAAAAGTGAAAATTGCGATAAAAGTGCCGTTGCCAACCGATGCCTCATCATTCATCAGTGGAATATAACATCAAACCATGCTGACCTCATCCGTAAACCCCTAAGCCGCAAACCCCCAGACCAAACAACTCGCCTGTGGCGAGGACTCTACGGCCCGCAGGGCCCAGAAGAAGAGGTGCCCAAAGGACACGTCGCTCCTGACCTCAGTAGTCATTTGCACAGCTACCACAATATGTGTTACTCAAGCTTAGTTCGTCTGCATGCATAGTCGGTGATGCTCACACAATGTTTGCGTGGTTGGGCTGCATGTAGACATGTCCTCTGCTTGCAATGATATGTTCAAATCCATGCTTTGCGAGTATGCATGTGCGGCTGCATGCATGCATGTGTGCAAGCTCGAGTAGGATGTTCAGACATGTGGTAGTGGGTATGACTCATGTTCTGACTGTACTCGTGGTCGTCGTCGCGGGTCACGGTGATTGCTCCGATGGCTGGAGCCAGAAGTGCATGTACGCATGCACAAACGCATGCATCTGCTAGATGCAGACGTTGAGGGTTCAAAGGTTTTTGCAGGCAGGCTTGGAGCTGTGGATCTAGATGTACTGTTCAGCGGCGCTTTCGTTTGTGGTCAACTTGGGCATTTGGGGCTGTAGGCCTGCAATGCCGCAGCTCATCCTCGAATCCCTAACAAAGACCAAGGACTTAGGCTTCATGCCGAGTTTGGGGTTGAGGCCTTCGTATTCTCCTCATATAAGAATATTAATAATTAGCTATCTACGGCATAGGTGGCTGGGCTTCTGGGGCATGTTCACACCTCTGTCAGGTCCTTGCCTTCGGTTTAATGTCTAGCCCAACATGCCATGCCCGTCCCGTACCCCTAAACCCTAAACCCTCTCAGTCTGCGACTGCTTCCAAAACAAAGCATTCCCACAGCACATTCCGCACTTCCTGCGAGGCAAGAGCCCTATATCCAGGCCACAGGTTGAATCGGAGCCGGATGCCCTAATCTAGAGGGGCCTGAATGATTAGAGTAGGGTTTCGGGGGCCCATTAGACCATAATTATAAAAAGAAACAGCCAAAATAGCATAGGTATAGGTAATTATTAAGGCCCCTTATCGAAAAGATCCTGATGATGCTTGGCCGAGGCAGGCGGCCTGAACTTTCTCTAACACCTGCAAGCCCCAAAGATCAGTCATCTTGGCGCATAGGTTCTTTTAGAGAACATAGGATATTAAGGCTTTTAAACCCTGTATTTGAAGAACCCTAACCAGACTGCAAACTCCCAGATCATAGGATTGCCGCGAGGCTCTAGGAGTGCTATGTATGCGGATAATGGTTTCAGTCTTTGGACTCCAGAATTTTGCCTAACAGGCTCCATAATAGTTCCTTTTTGGGGATTACCTTGTAGGATTCCAACCCCAAAAGGGAACTGTAATGGAGCCTATGGGTAAACCGAGCTTTGGGGTGCAGGGCGCTGTCTTGGTCTGGGGTTTCGGGATTGCTTCTGCTAGCAAGCAAGCACCTCGAAGCCTCCAGCTGCAGCAAGCATACTGCACATGGGATGCTGGTTGCAAATATCAGAAGTACATGTGTATGTATGTATGTATATATATATATATATATATATACATATATATATACATATATATATATATATATATATATATTATACATATATATATATAGATATAAATAGAGAGTTGCTTTATATATACATATACATAAACAAAAAGTAACCTGTGTATATATATATATATGTATATGTATACATACATATCTATATATATATATACATATTGTGCGTGCACATAAGGACTCGGGATTGCGAATATAAGGTCCAGAGATAACTAGGATGGGAAGGTGCCTTCGAGACAGAGTAGCATGGCAAAGAGGCATTTAGATTTGAAGTTACGAATAAGGATATTGACGAAGCCACCATAAGCCCCCGGTGTAGATCCGATGCCTGGAGTCACAACTATGGGGTTTTCGGGGCTTATAGGGCCGAAGTGAACCTTCAGACACACGACCATGAGGGAATGTTGGGACTACCATGCCATAAACCCTCAACCCTGAAACCCTAACTCCGAAATATCTTCAGGCATTGCAGAGGGAAAAATTACAGCGGGCCACTCTCCCATTTTCCCCCAAGCCCAAAACCCATATCCCTGAACCCGATAGAGCCTCAACCCCAAGCCCTGAACCGCATTCTATCCGTAAGCCCTGAAGCCTAAGCACCGGCAACTTGGAGACCAGGGCGGTCCATGCAGGGAGCGTGCAGGATGACGTTGATGATCGGGACAACGAAGTCTAAGACCTCGGGGTAATCAGTTAAGAAAGGAGTTGATAGGAGATCATAAAACTTTCCATTCGTGATTTATGAGTTGCTGAATATCTACCTGCTTTATAGATGCTCTGTGGCTTTGTGAGGGTTCTTGAGGTTTTATGTGACTTAGTGTTTCGGGCTCAAGGCTTAGCAGTTAGGGCTTGCTGACACACGCCAGACTACACAAACATACATGCCTGCATGCATACATGAATATCTGCATGTACATGTACATGCGCTTCAACATGTATGCATGTATACTGATGTGCGTGTGTGTATATATATATATATATATATATATACATAAATATGTAAATACATACATACATATATATATATATATACATACACACATATATATATATATGTACGTGCAGTAAGAATATGTGCATGTATACACAAGTTGACGGAAACTTAAATGAACAAAGCAGCAAACAAAAATCACGGGTCTAATTAGGTTTGGGGTGCGGCCCTTGCCCTGCCAAACTGTTCCCCCGGTGTGGCCCTGAAAATACGCCCACATCTATGTATATGTATATATATAAATATAAATATAAATAAATAAATATATATATATATATATATATATATATATATATACATGTACACACACGCACACACATGTATATATGTATCATGTACATGTATGTGTAAATGTGTGTACATGTACGTATGTACCACTACAAGCTCTGAAACCTCCACTCTTCCCTGGCTCTCGCAGATCTTCAACCCCAGTTCTCTACCCCACGTCCCCAAACAAGGGCACCTAGCCCAAACCCCTACCCACAAATCTCCTAAAGCCGAACTGTAACAGCTGCCCTCTCAACCTGAAACGAACACGGCACATCCACGAAGTCAGGGGCCCCACTGTGTCTGCCTGTGATGCCTCGAGGCTGTCGGCGAGGTAGGTTGAGGGTGGCGTGGGGCTCGGGATTCAGGACTAATCGCTTTAGCCTCAGGGCTTAGGGTTTTGCTTGTTTGGTTAAACCCTAAACCCTAAACCCCTAAACCCTAAAGCCCTAGACCCTAAACCTTAAGTTTAGCTTTTCGGTCACAACGGAGGATTGAGCTTGCAGAAACCGCAGTGCACCGTCGTTTCATTGTGTCAGTTCTAAACCTGAAGGGTCGTTACCCATAGGCCCCAAAGTAATTCCTTTTGGGGATTACCTTATAGGATTCTATATACGCTCCCCAAAAAGGAACTACTTTGGAGCCTTAGGGTAGTATCTAGCTCATTTAATGAATAGTAGAATGTAGGGCGTCGCAGCAGGACGGTTTTCAATTACATGGTTTTAACTCAAGCATAGATGGGTGCACGAATCTGCCATACGATGTCTGCGTGTGATGCAATCGAAACGGTTCCTGGCTCTTGATCACCATCATCATCATCATCACCACCAGCACCATCACCACCATCTCCACCATCATGCCCATGACCCTCAGCACCAGCATTAGTACTTGTGGTTTGCGATATGGGTTGTTGCTGTTGATGCTGTCCCTATGAACTTGTGTTTTGGCTCTGCTAAGAGGGGACTCTTCGAACAGGAGGTGTCGTGCTCCCTGACTAGTGACCGATATCGAGGATTTGGCAAAGGCTCGGCATCCATCAGACCGACGCGGTAAGGCTTTTTGTGGGGCCTGAATACTTACTTACCAACAGTACTGTTTTTTGGGGGTGTTCCTGGTTGTAAACATGTTGTGAAGTATACCCCGAAACCCTATTCTACACATCAAGGCCTCTATATTAAAACCTTACGATTGAAGGTCTGGCTGCTGGCTTTGGGGTGTAGGGGTGTACATACTGCTGGTGGACAAAATCCTGCATTACCCATTATAAGGAATATGCCATAGTTCGCATAGTTTGGAGTCCTTAGGGTCATGCAGGATTTTGTCCATCAGCCGCAGGACTGGGACTTTGGGATCCTGAGCTCCTTAGACAACAAACGAAACCTGAGCCAACCTTGATTTGTAGTATATTTAAGGGAGGGGGGTCCAAGGGGGGTATATAGCCTAGTGATCCCTAATTCTCCCTAGTACTCCCTAAGGTTCCCTTACAGTCCCCTAAGGATTCCTTATACCCTCCCCCCTTGAACCACCCTCCCTTAAGGATCCTGTAATTGATGACAACAAATCCTACCTACAGAAACAAACGTAACCCTACAGTAAACTCCAAAAAGTTGGAAACCCAGTTAAGGACAAATCGTGCTGGGAGTCCCTATACTTTACTCTTAGGGATTGAGGCTACGGGGTTTCCCACTTTTTGGCGGCTACTGTAAACCCTGAATTTGGAATCCTGAACCCTGAACCGCAAGCAAATAGTAGGTAGTGTCATTAGGGAGACCCCTTAAGGGGTACCCCTTCTGAACCCTACTTCTGGCTCTCTTAAAAGGGGTCTTATTGAGAGGGTCTATATCCCCAAGGGTCCCCATAATCCTAACTCTCAAAAAGCCCTATGTGAAATCACTCTGTTGACGCGGCCAAACCCCAAGCCCTAAACCCTGACTTGGCCTTAAGCCCTAAAGCAGGAAATAAGTCCTACACCCCAAAATAAGCCATAATCCCTAAAACCCCACAGCCACCCTAAACCCGAAAATAAATCCTAAACCCTAAAATAGACCATAATCCCTAAAACCCCACAGCCACCCTAAACCCTAATCCCTAACCCACAGCCGGGCCTTCAGAGACTTCAACGCCGCCACGCAGCGCATTGCCGCGCTCTGGCAACCGATTTTGATGATCGGGGATCTAGGGTTTGGGTTATGCGGTTTAGGGTTTATAAGGGTTTAGGGTTTAGGTGTATGGATGCTTAGGCGGGAAAAGACGACAAAAGTGACGAAACTATAACAAGTGGGTTAAACACATACAGCTGCTTAACGCGATATCAAGGAGCTGTAAAGGCATCTCAACAGCCAAGACCTGCCTCGCGTCTAGTCCTTAGGCTTTATGCTGCAGGAGGGCTTTAGGGTTAAGGGTCTAGGGCTTCAGAGTTTAGGGATTGGGGCTATTAAATTAAAATCTAACTAGATACTAGGGTTCCACACCAGAAGGAGCTCGTGGACCGTTGCTTTAGGGATTCAGGATGTAGAGCGAGTCATGTCGGATGAGGGCTTTAGTGTTTGGGGCTGGGTGCATGCATCTCCCAATTCCCTAAACCCTATAAACCCTAAACCGCCCGAAACCCCAAACCCCGCGCCCGCGCTCCGGTGTTTGGCTTGCCGTGTTCTTGGCTGGAGTTTCTTCGGGGCTGTGCGCAAGTTTCCCTACATGATCGGGCCAGCGGAAACCCTGAACCTTAAATCCGTACCAGGAACCCCAAGTGCTGGTTGACAGAGCCCTTATCGTCCCTAACTTTGGGGTATTCAGGGTACCGCAAATCCCTAGACCCTCCATCTATATTACCCTCTATTAGACCCTAAAGGCCCCTTATAGTGGGACCATAACCCCGAAACCCGTTGCCCAGGCACTGCCCCAGTCATAGGGATCCTTAGGGGTGTAGGGGGAGGGGGGGTTTGGGGCCTTAAGGCCCATAATAAGGACTAATAAGGCCTATTTAAGGAAATATAGTCCCCTACACCCCTCCCCCCTACACCCCTAAGGATAGCTATGACCCAGGCACCTGCGAGGAGCCGGGCAGGCGCAAGCCAGTACTGCTGAAGTCCTTACCAACCCGAGGGCTCCAGTTACCAAAGCGGCAGGTCACTGGGGAGTAAGGTTCCTTAAAAGGGCTCCTTAAAGGGATCTATAGGGGTTCCTTAAAAGGGATCTAGGGGTTTAGGGTTTAGGGTACTACTTGGAGGAAAAAGGGATCTATAGGGGCTCCAGTTACCAAAGCGGCAGGTCACTGGGGTGATGTAGGGGCCTTAATAATTGCACTAAGGTTCTGGGGCCCATTATACTATCGTCATAAGACGGAAACCCCCAAAATAGTATAGGTCACTGGGGTATGTACTTGGAGGATCATGGGACTTAGTAAGTAAGGTTATAAGTACCCTCATTGGGGTTATAAGCATAGTTATCCTAAATATAACCCTAGTTCCTTTAATTAGCGGCCTTAATGATTAAATTAAGGTAATGGGGCCCACCATACTATAATCATAAGACGGAAATCCCCCAAATAGTATTGGTAATAGTATACAGGCCCCTGTAATATATAATATATGGGTAGTAACCTACTATTCAAGTAAGTCGAGTCCTAGGACAGGTCGAATTCGATGCTCCGGGACCCGTTTAGGGTGTAGGGTTTCTGGGTCTCGGGTCTCGCGCTTCGGGTTCCCATGCGCCATTTAATGGAGCTTCCGAAAAATAGGGATACCTTACTTAGGGGTCCTTTTAATAAGGATCCTACTATTTAGGGTACCATATTAGGGTCCTTTGGGGTACCTTATTCTGGGTGCCTTTTAATAGGGATCCTACTATTTAGGGAACTATGTTAGGGTCCCCTATTTTCGGAAACTGCCATTTACTGGAGCCCGCATGGTCCCCAAGAGTCGGTCCTTGGGTGGGACTAGGCTCTGTTTAAGCTTCCCATAGGCCCCAAAGTAGTTCCCTTTTTGGGATTCCAATATAAGATAAGATTCTATTCTATATATATATATATGAATCCCCAAAAGGAACTACCTTGGGGCCTCTGGGTTAAGTTTGGGATTCCCGGGTTGCAAGGTCTTCGTTCAAGAAGCTCAGTGCAGAACTGGAGGCCTTTGAATGAGAAGTTAAACTCTTGCCTGGTCTAAGACCATGAGAGTCATCTCGAGCCATGCCCTAATGGCCCAACAAAAGAACCAGAATAGTTAATTCTGACAAAATTTTGTGGTATACAATAAGGAACCGAACAAAACAGTATTGACAATCATTTATGACCATTATAGTAACATCCTACTGGTAACGGTCCTGGGCATGGTTGAGGGGGACCACTGTTGTCGGATCACGATATCGACGCTGTGAGGGCTAATGGTATCCAGCAACCACCGAAACTTCCCAGCTCCACGCCGCCCCCAGAGACCTCACTGCCCTGGTGGTCTCCACCCCAAAACGCTAGGCTTCGGGTTTAGTCAGGCTTGGGTTTAAATCTAGGCGGCCCAAAGCCATTCCCCCAAATGAGGGTGCTGATTCATCTTTGGGTGCCGCCTGAAGGTCTTGGTGTTGGCCACCTTCCACTTCGTAGTTGCTTTAACTTAGGCTTGAGATTTGACGTTGAGGCGAGTTTTACCCTGCTGATGAACTAGATGCTGCGACAGCAATCGAAGTCGCTTGAAAGGAACATTTCGCTCGGATACTCAATGGTCAGTTTCACCCTACTGATCAACTAGATGTTGCGACAGACTCAAAGTCGGTACGAGAGGAACACTTCGTTCAGATACTCCGCGATGGTGTCCTTAGAGGGGTTGCCGCGATGGTTCCGAAGGATGATCCGCGACAATGACATTGCCCCTGGACGATGCAAGCTGACTACATGTCAGCACGGTGCCTGAACCGCCCTTTCGACGTGCTTGAGATGTAGTGGCAGTGGGCATTTGGCTGCCGTGACGCCTTGGGCGTTCTGATCCCTCAGAAGCACGAACAAGGGCCCTGCATGGGCTCTGGGGTCGGGGTTGGGATTTGGTGGGCCTGTTTTTGGGGAGGTGCTCGTAAAGAGAAAATAGAAAGGGGAGCGGGGTTCCGGGCAGTTTTGCGGACGACTGCGTGCTGCCTGAACCACTCGGGGAGCAGGAGCGTGCTGCCTCGAGCATTCGGGGAGCAAGAGCGTGCTGCCTCAACCATTCGACAGTCGCTGCGTGCAGCCTCAAAGCTCAGGGTAAGTTGGTGACGGACGCTGTAACCTCGAGGCGGAACCCAAAATCGAGGTGGCACTGACGGCTGCACATTAAACCCCTAAACGGACTTTTACTCTTACACTAATCTTCCGCCCTGACGTTACTGCATTCCCGGAATGGAACGTGCTGCGTCACTTTTACGTGCCGACTCGGCGCGGAGGTGGTGGCTTGAGTCCGCAACGCAACGACGAGGTGGAAGGACTGTCGCCCCGAAAGGCAATGGCGGAGGAGACGTGGATCGCAGAGCATCCGAGAGCTCACAGGTCCGAGCCTAGCCCGCAGTGGTGCCCAAACCATTACCCGACCTGCGTTCTCACCAGCCAGCGTGCCACCTCACCAGCCAGCGTGCTACCTCACAGCCCAGCGTGCTACCTCACACACGCCAGCGTGCTGCCTGGGTAGCCTAGCGCTGAAACCGCGACCAAGGCCGTCATGGGAGGCCAGGCCCACATGGCCCCTCTAACTATGCATCTGAAGCACGTCGAAAGGGCGGTTCAGGCACCGTGCTGACATGTAGTCAGCTTGCATCGTCCAGGGGCAATTTCATTGTCGCGGATCATCCTTCGGAACCATCGCGGCAAGCCCTCTAAGGACACCATCGCGGAGTATCTGAACGAAGTGTTCCTCTCGTACCGACTTTGAGTCTGTCGCAACATCTAGTTGATCAGTGAGTGAAACTGACCATTGAGTATCCGAGCGAAATGTTCCTTTCAAGCGACTTCGATTACTGTCGCAGCATCTAGTTCATCAGCAGGGTAAAACTCGCCTCAACGTCAAATCTCAAGCCTAAAATAAAGCAACTACGAAGTGGAAGGTGGCCAACACCAAGACCTTCAGGCGGCACCCAAAGATGAATCAGCACCCTCATTTGGGGGAATGGCTTTGGGCCGCCTAGATTAAAGGGTTCAGACTTGAGTCCTGAACCCCCCCTAAACCCTAAACCTTAAACCTTAAACCCCCAAACACTAAACCCTAAACCCTCAACCCTACACCCTCAACCCTAAACCTTAAACCGTAAACCCCCAAACCCTAAACCCTCAACCCTCAACCCTAAGCCCCCTACATGCACCCAACAACCCCGGCAAGTACAACCTTGTAGCTTCGAGGCTCCTTCTGTGCATGGGGGTTCACCCACAGAAGCTCCATCAGTGCCTCCACAACCTGATAGTAGTTTAGGGTTTAGGGTTTAGGGTTTAGGGTTTGGGGTTTGGGGTTTGGGGTTTAGGGTTTAGGGTTTAGGGTTGATGGACCAAATCCTGCATGACCCTCAGGACTCTAAACTATGGGAACTATGGTATATTCCTTATAAGGGGTAATGCAGGATTTTGTCCATCAGCAGTATCATAAGGATCGGTGGTACTCCAGGGCAGTGGCTTAGGGCTTGAGAGCTCTTGCAGCAGAAGTTGGATGTTAAGTTGGTAGTGTTCCAGGTCTATTCCTAACGACCCCTGTTGGGGGTTCAAGTTGGTGTGGGTTGTCTAGGCCCTGGGGGGGGGGAGGTGTCCAGTTGACAAGTACGTGGATGTCATGCACCAAAGTTTTCGAGAGTTTCGGTTCTTGCAGCTCGCATGGTGGATCGAAATAAAGACCTTAGCAAACAGAATCTGGCTTGAATCGGGGTTTGGGCTTCGGGTATAGGGGTTAGGGCTTAGGGTTTACGGGTTAGGGGTTAGGGTTTAGAGACTACTGTATGGGGTTTAGGGTTTACGGTTGAGGAGGCCCTAATTTGGGTGCTGCCCCCATACAGTAACAGCCTGTAATAGGGCAAAGGACTACTCAAGGCCTTATATATCTATAGTCTCAATATTGCTCAACTGTTACTGAGCGGGAGCACTCTCCAAGCAAGCCCTAATACTTTCCAACCAAGCCCTAACATATAATTAGAGGTATCATATAATACACTAATGAGCTTTTGGCAAGAAGGATCCCGAAGGAACTGTTGGCCAGTATACAGCCCCCTGTATGAAGGTTGACGGCTTTACGGTTTATGGCCTCGCAACCCTACAAAGCCCTCCCATCAACTACCATAACCTGCCTTTTTGTAGGTTCTCCTTACAAACCCCATATGGAATTTGTAAGGCTCTGCGCAAGAACTTAGGTTTTGGTAGATAAATACAGGGGCATTAACAATTACAATATGGTTGTGGGGCCCATTATTAGTAGTAATTATTTACTCGAAAGGCACTAACCAACAAAACCCTAAACTCGCTAAACCCTATACCCTAAACTCTCTAAACTCTCTAAACCCTAAAGTCCCTAAACCCTAAACTCTCTGAACCCTTATAAATCCTAAACTCTCTGAACCCTAAACCCTAAGCCCAGAGACTACGATCCCTCAAAAAGCCCTTTCAGGATTCCTTCACAGAGGATCCCTATTCTAAGTGTTTAAACATAGGTCCCATATGTTCCTGTAAAACCGAACCAACCCAAAGACCCGGCCTTGGCTTCGTTGTCCAAGTGCTTCCCTGGTTGGAACCGGACCTCTGCTTGATAGGAGCTCACACGGTTCGTTTGTTTAGGGTTTACCTTAACCTACCAGAACCTACTTTTTTGTAGGGTCCGATTCAATTCCATATTGGGGCTTATATATCACGGTTCGTTTGTCTAGGGGTTAAGGGGTTCAGGGTTTAGGGTCCAGTGTGTAGGGTTGGGTTTACTGGACTTTGCAGTAACCAGGGAGAAAAAATATAGACTTTAATTTCATAATGGTTCCTTTAAGGAACAGGTACCAACACAACAGTATTCAAGTATGGTACTCCAAACCCACGTTTAGCAGTTAGGATTCTGGGTGTAGGGTCGAGATAACGGTCTAGTAGGGTTGAGATTTTTGGAACTCAGATTCTGGGTTTTAAGGTTTAGGGTTGAAGCTGCAAGGTAGGGTGCAGGGTCAAGACTTTAGTAGCGGTGCTTAGAGCATTAGGCTTCAGGATTTAGCGTTGAGGGTTTGGGGGACGTGCTGGTGCGTTTTTCTTTTCGGGGTTGAGGTTTCGGGTGTTCGATGTGGCATGTATAGGAGGCTAGGGCGCGGGTAGCGTACGCCACTTTACCAGCGTACGCTACTTTACCAGGATTTTGTACAAGTAATGGTTTTCTTTTGGGCAGCTACAGGATAAGCGTATGATGTGCTTTTGGGCGATACTGCTGTTCGCGTGGCACTGGGCTGGGGGTGTTGGGTTCGGGGCTGGGTCTTGGGGTTACTTGGAGGTTCATGGGTAGTTATAAGCAAGGTTCTAAGTAGGATAACTATACTTATAGCCCATATTAGGGGACTTATAACTCCACTTATAACTTATAACTACCCATGAACCTCCAAGTAGAGTGCGCCGTTAAGGATAATGGACGGCAGCCCGAGCAAGCGCTACATTTGGGCCTTATCCTGCCTGGTCAACCTTACCCAGAAACCCCGGACCTAATTCCCTCATTACTCCACACCCTGAATCTGGACCCCGATGAATACTCCCTTTCTTTCAGAGCCCGTTTAAAAGGTGTGGAGTTTAAAAAAAAAACAGGGTCTACATTCATTCATGAACACCGAACCCTCAGCCCCTCCTTGCTCCACCCGAGTGACGCGGAAGTGAAAGGGGCCAGAGGTACCGTTGTCCTGGCGACTGGCCGGTTTCAGGTTTAGGCTTTTGGGGTTTTGGGTTCAGGGCTTAGGGCGTCTGGCGTTAATTTGGGTGGTAAGGCTTTCGGTTTCTAGGGCTTAATGTTGTCGGTTTTGGGCTCACGATGTCAGGTTTGGGATAACTAGGTGCAGCTGGTAGTGTCTTTGAGAGTTTACCGCAACTGCAATACTGTCCAGAATACTCTCACCAAGATCCTTCGCGCGGTGTTCAGCTTTCTCGAAGTTTTCTGAAGTTTACTGAAGTTTACTGTATGAGGCTAAGTAAGGGCTTTCAGGCTTGCAGAGAACAGTGTCGATATCTTGGCTTGCCGCATGTTACCATGTCTGGCTGCGACCTCCGCAACTACAAGGAAGGTTTAGGGTTCAGGGCTTGAAGTTTAGAGCTCAGGGTCAGGCCATTTTTGGGCTTAGCTCTGGAATCGAAAACACTCCGTCTTCGCCCTCATCCCAATGCCAAAGTCAAAGCCCTGACCCCAGCATCTTGAACTACATAGCCGAAACCTAAACCACAAAATCCAGATCCCGTCCCAAGCAACTGGAGTTCCGGCACCGTAAACCCTAAACTTCTGAATTTCGTCTTGGAAAAACTTGTCTCGCCCCATGCTGCAGCATTGCTTATTGGGATGCCTTCTGCGCCGAGCACCAGAGACCGCCCTGAAACCGTTCATGGTCCTCGCAGATCATGTGTCCAGGGTGGTGACCCAGAGGGTCCAGTACCATCATGGAGTTACCCCTAATCGTGGTTTTGGGGAGCCTAATCCCTGAACAGCAGTATATCTATAAAATACATATATGTATATACACACACACATGTATGGACACTCTTGGTTGCTATAAAGAGTGCGAATAAAAGTTACTATATGGGGCATTATAACGGCAAACGTAAGGATTATTACTAACGGGGTTGCTATAAAGGTTATTGTAGACTCCAGCGCGCGTAGTCGCGAAGAAAGTGCGTATCGGGGATTGCAGTGCTTTTGGGATTTGGGGCTTAAGGAGTATACTGCATCATGGTTGGAGAGCGTGCATGTTGCCTTCAGGGATTGTGGGATGAGGGCTCGTTGGATTAAATCCTTGGCGATTGGGGTTTGAAGGGTGTCTAGAGTCCAGAATCCGCCCATATCCCAAACCTGAACATTTTCCAAAACCTTTTGAAGCCGAAGAGCCAATAACAACATGATCGTTGCAACTGTTCGATGCCTTTCGGAGATCCCTACACCCTACGGGTCCAAGCACCTATAATAATCATATACTCTCTCTAACATTAACCTACATGTCTACCATCCTAAATCCAAGTACCTTATTATTGGGTGCTTTGGACCCCTATGGAGGGACAGAGCCTTCGCAATCATGCTCAAATCGAAAACAGGTTCTCCAAGAGTCGCTGCAATCGGAGATCTGGGTACTAAAATGCCTAAATCGGGTTCAGGATTATAGTTAGGGTCCCTTTTTGGGATGTAGGACTTAGGGGGTTTAGGGTTTAGGGCAGTGTTAGGCATGTTGTTGTAACCAGTGCAAGCTTATGCGTCCAGCATTGGGGATTGTGGGATAGTTTAGAGCCAGCAAAGCACGGGAGTTGGAAGTACGGCTTAGGGTTTGGAGCTAGTGGAGCTTATAAACCCCTTAGATCCCTTGAAGCCACCCTAATAGATCCCTTAAAGGATTATGGCCCTCTTTCCGACAACCTGGGGGTTGAAGGCCGAGGGTTCAAGGTCCTTGAAGAGCAGATGCTCATCCAAGTGGATGGTCTCTCCGGATGTCCTTTCCTCGACGGATTCGTGTGCGGGCGCAAGCAAACAGGTCCAAGGTCTGAGGATTGGAGACTTGGTATAACCCCTAAACCCTAAACCCCAATTGCATGAGCCACCTACCCGAACCTCCGACCGAAATTGTCGGAAATTCCCAGATGAAGACCTGATTGCACTTGCTACTGATATGGCTTAGCATGCAGCCTGGCATGAAAAAAGCAACATGCAGCTTAGGGCATAAAGTGCTGCACAGCATTTAGAGGTGCAGTCTGGAGCTAGATTGATTGGCGTTAGGGTTTAGAGCATTTATTGCCCAAAATCCAATTCCAGGGGTTCAGCCTTTGTGGCATTGAAATCAGGATACGGTGATTTACGGGTGATGGGATTCCCTAAGGGTCCATGTACCCAAATAGTATATACATTGGCCTTAATGTAGTCCCTATATAGGTACATTGGGCCCAAAGTATATACTATTTGGGTACATGGACCCTTAAACTATAGAAGCCTAATAGATCCCTTGTAGAACCCTTATAGTAACCCTTGAAGTACCCTTAAAGGAGCCCCTAGTTGGGTACATGGACCCTTAGGGATTGTTGCTCTTGTGCCCGGAACTTCAAGTACCGCGAGCCCAAGTCTCAGCTCAGCCCTGGAGACCCTGACTGAGACTACCAAACTGCCAGAGGCCACTATTAGCAGTGTTCCCTATAACATCTACACACATACACACATGTGTGTGTGTGTATAAATATGTATATGTATATATATATATATATATATATATGTATATATATATATATACATATACATATACATATACATACACATACATGCATGTATGTATGCATATGTATACATATACTGGGTATAATACTGTGTATACGTATATACACACGAATACACACATACGATATTCGTCTATGGCTGTGCATGTGTCTGTGTAAGTATGTGTATATACACACTGATCATAGGTTCATCTCCAGATTAAGAGCCTACCATCCTACCACAAAAAAGGCATACAATGGTGCGAGGTGAGCCCTCAACTCCAGAATTAGACCCTCAACCCTAAGCCTTCAATCATAATCCCCAAAACCCTAAATCCTAAACCTTATAAATCCTACATCCCAAGCCCTAAATCCTACACCCTATAAACCCTAAGACCCTATAAACCCTAAGACCCTTAAACCCTAAACCCTAAGCCCTGGACCTTAAATCCTAAACCCTAAACCCTAAACTCCCTAAGACCCTTAAACCCTAAACCCTGGACCTTAAATCCTAAACCCTAAACCCTAAACCCTAAACTCCCTTAGACCCTAAACCCTTGGGCCTCTGAGCCCCCCACAACACAGTTTCCCATGAAGCGAAAGCTGCCGGCAGGGACCAAGAGCCCCCTTGGGCAACCTTGAAATTCGGGGTGCCTTTAAAAGGGATCTATAAGGATTCCTTAAAGGGATCTATAAGGGTTTAGGGGTACCTTTAAAATTTAAAGGGATCTATAAGGATTCCTTAAAGGGATCTATAAGGGTTCTATAAAGGGTTCAGGGTTTAGGGTTTAGAGTAGGAGTAGGGGCGACCTTGAGATTAGGGGTACCTTGAAAAGGGATCTATAAGGATTCCTTAAAGGGATCTGTAAGGGTTCTATATCATGGTCTTCTATATTAGTAGGAGTAGGAGTAGGGGCAACCTTCTCCATCCACTGTTCAGATGATTCGGGCTGTATTCGTGGTTATTGGGTTCAGGGTAGTGGGTTTAGGGCTTCGTGCGGCCATGACAGTAGTTTGAGGCAATATTATATGATTACCATTATGATGACGGTGAAGAGGATGATGATGATGATGATGATGATGATGCCGACGACTGCCGGAATTACATCCAGCGTAGTAGTCGTAGTCGAAGGAGCAGTCGTTGTCGTGGTGGTGGTAGCAGTAGTCGTAGTAGCAGCAGCATTAGCAGTAGCAGCAGCAGCAGCAGCAGCAGTAGCAGTAGCAGCAGCAGCAGCAGCCGTAGCCGTAGCCGTAGCAGTAGCCGTAGCCGTAGCCGTGGCCATAGCAGTAGCAGTAGCAGTAGTCGCAGTGGTAGTGGGCAGTGGCAGTAGTACTGGTACTGGTAGTGGTATAGCGGTAGTGGTATTGGTAGTGATAGCAGTAGTGATAGTCGTAGTGATAGTAGTAGTAGTAGTAGTAGCAGCAGCAGCAGCAACAGCAGGAGTAAGAGTAGTAGTAGTCGTCGTCGTAGAGGTCTCACGGCTAGTGCAGCGTCAGGCTGACCCAGTGGTATTGGCAATACTTTCGCAATTCGTTGATTCACGCGCTATAATTACATGTTCAGGATCTAATCAGCTTTAGGTGGATAGTGATCGGATAGTGACGAATATCCACCCTCTTCACATTTACATTCAATGTCCTGTTGCTACTGTTACGTTCGTCATGTTGAGATTGGTACCTTCACCATTGTCAGTCCTGTTCCTCTCATTACCAAGCTGTTTCGACTTTGAGTGTAGGCTTCAAGCAGAGGGCTGCATGGGTTCAGGGCCATGGGATGACGGATGCGGAAAAACGTAAAAAACTGCGGTTTAGGGGTTATAAGGGTAAGCTTACCCTAAAGGCCTTATATAGTATGGTCTTTGGGCCCAAAAGCCTTAGTATATGAGTCCTAAGAGCCTCAGGTTAGGGTTTAAGAGATCGGGTCGTGTTGGTGTCGCGTTTCCTGCCGTAGACAGGACACGTCCACCCGCACGCAGGGCTGCGCAGGATGAGTCGCACACACAGCGTACCTATAGTCTCCATGCCTATAGTCTCCATGGTAGTTCCTTTTTTGGTTAACCAATTTTATGGTTAGGATCCTATAATGGAGTTTTAGGTTAACCAAAGAAAGCAACTACAATGGAGACTATAGGTAGATCATATTGGGGCACTCAGCACGTGACCACCGGTGCTCCGGTCGGCTTCTCGCAGAGAGCATGGCAAAAAAGGGTTGCCGCCCCCTGACCTCTTCGCACTCCCAGCGCAGCGTCTGAACCGACATACATGTGGGTGGTTGTCAAAATAGGTCCCTTTTTGGGTACCCTAAATAATAGGTGCTGTATTATAATAAGGACCCCAAAAGGGACCATAATTTTGACAACCACCCATGTGTGTTCTCGCAACGGCCACCAGTACAGCCCAGTTGGCTGTCGATGCACCAAGGCAGGAGCAAAACGGCAGAAACCGCAGCATTGCCTTAATTAAGTCTATGCCGGAAGAATCGCTGCCCCGACGGTAAACCTGTGGCACGACGCTACAAGCTCTGCAAAACAGTGGCCCCCTGCAATGCATTATTGTCCCCACCCGACTCGCAACCCTAAATCCAATAAGCCTTCAACCCTGAACCCTCGACCCAAACCCTTCCGGACCAACTTTCCTTCGTAATTCGACCCAGCCTGATTTGGACACGGCCCCGTGGATCGCGAAGCTAAACTACCTACCACTTGAGCCTCAAAGAAATCCCGGCGGTGACGGTTTAGCGTTCAGAGTTTTCTGGGGTTTGCAGGGCATGCGCCTTCTAGGGCCCAGACCTTCCAAAATCCCTTAATTAAGGAATATACCTTAACTTATAATAGGATCCCAAATATGAATTAAGGTATATTCCTTAATTAAGGGATTTTGGAAGGTCTGGGTGCATCAGCTTCCCAACAGCAAAGAGACAAGTCAAGCAGCTAAGACCCTCCAGGTACCCTCCTTTGTAGCTCAAGGTACCCACAAAGAGGCCACTTAAAAGACGCAAGGCCTTTATCCAAAGCCCGAAATGATGGAGCGCAAAACTCCACAAAAACGCCGGTGAGAGCTTAGATGCATGCTGTGACCTGTTGGCTTCCGTGGCCAAAGTCCTAAGCCCCACCTAAAGCCTTTAGAGTTCGTAGTGCCCAATGTGGCTGCTGAGGCTTAAGAACAATTTCCGGGGTTCAAAAGCGTCTTGCGAGGGGCTTGCTGGCTAGATACTAGAGATGTAAGCCCTGTACTCCTACACCCTAGACCCTAAACCCTGAATCCTAAACCCTTGTTGTGATGTACAGCAAGTTAGACACGGCCCCTAAATAACCTACGTTTTTACGGGCTTATATTAGGAAGTCATCATGAGGAACACTAAAAGTGTAGGTTCTTTGGGTCAAAAACCAAACCCCGAAGACTCGAAACCCTGAGGTTTGCCTCCCGTCGAATTTGTCACCAAAAGCTATGCGAGATTGAGATCACTTCAACGACCTTAAGGTTTAGGGTTTAGGGTTTAGGGTTTAGGGCTACTACAGCCGTTCAATGTACTCTAAGCAATCAACCTTAACCCTACACCCCAATTAAGAACTTGCCCTTCGCTAGACGATTTCAGGGGACTGGCTCTGCCCAGCTTTTCTTCAGCAGATGCGTAAGAGGAGATCAATCGAACTGCATATACAGCCAGCCTACGGCGGCTCTGCGTAAACGAAACACAAGATAAACTGAAGAACACACACAAAAACATAAATTGGCGCTGTTCAAACCCCCTGACACATTCATGTATAACAATATAGCAGTAGAACGCCTTGAGGCTTCCAGCATTCCACGAGCTCGTCGCAAACTTCAAAATCGAACAGCCGGCTCACTGAGCGCCTCCTGGCGATGCACACGGCCGCACGCGTAGCAACTGCACAAACTCTCTGTTCATCGCTTTCGGAAACGCATCACCACGCTTTTACCGTATTATACGGCAGTATCAGCATATCTATATGCCGCATGCACGAATACACGAATGTGCTCAGATAGCAGCATTACACTGCTCCCGTAGCGTATACATACATACATGCATACATACATGCATGCATGCATACATAATCATATACGGAAGATATATAGGTATATATGTATATATATATAAACAACTTTGAATAGAAATACAACTGTAAATACATATATACATATATATATATATATGCACATGTCTGAGAGAGAGAGAGAGAGAGAGAGAGAGAGAGAGAGAGAGAGAGAGAGAGAGAGAGAGAAAAAATACACAGAGTATGTAGGTATATCTATTTACTATGCATTTGCAACTCGTCTTGTTAGCTGTGAAGTAAAGTCCGAATCGGCTCGCAGTGGGCTAAATACGTGCCCGCAAGGCAGCAGTGAAAAGTAGAGCTGGCTGTTGGAATAGGCGGGGACCTAAGTCTTGTTTACTCTTTATGTCGCTTTGTCATTTCAAACAACATGGTTGGTTCACTATGTTATTCACCCTGCCCGGTTGATAAACCTTCTAAGCTTTGGACCCTCGGCGGGAAGGGTCCTTCATCGTGTGCAGGCAGCGAAGGCCCAGGGAGCGTCATCCTCCTGGTACCTCAGATAAAGGAACGAACTTCTGGATGCTACTGATCGGTTCATACCCTTACCCCTTTTTCAGGGTGGCTATACCTTTTGTATATCATAGATCCTGACCATGAAACTACTGGTAGATACCCTAAAGACAAGGTAGGGTCTGAGTCCATATGTCGGGTTGAGGAGCGTGCACTTCTTGTCTATGCGGGGATCCCATGTAGTGCGGTTCTCAGCGGGGATTTCAGAAACGAGACGCCCGGCATGTTGGGTACGGGGCATCTGGGGTTTGTGGGCTTTTGTCAACCCGTCCTGGGGCGGCTAACACGTAAAGATAACCTATAATAGTCCCTATATAGACTTCTTCAAGACAGAACCCCAACGAAGTCGAAGCTGGTCTTTTTGGCCTTGTCGCCCGCCCCTACTGTCCAGGTTAAGGGGTTTGGGGGTTTGGGTTTGGAGTTTAGGGGTGTGGGGGGTTTATGGTCGAGGGCTTTAAGGGTTCAAGGTTTGGGGATTTCGGGATTTATATAGGGGTTTTGGGGTTTGGAACCCTCGACCTTACTACTCTCCGAACCTTAAGTCCCTTCTAACCTGAATCCTGAAAACCCTGGAGTGCGACACTTAAGCCCCAAAACCCCTACAACCCAAACCCCGAAGAAGTAACCCCCCCCCCTGCACCCAAAGCATCACCATCCGAAGTCCCAAGCTGTAGGTTCTGGGTGCCGAGCTGGCGCGGGCGGCCGAGGCGGTTGATCTCCTTGGTCTGCGGGTTCACGTGGTTGTGGGGGAAGGCGTCCTGTGCGCACCGGTGGGGGGGCTCAGCGTTCCTTCGCGGGTTGCTAGGGGGTCAAGGTTCAGGATTGGCGGATCAAGGTTTTTTTTAGGGTCTAGGCTAAGGCTCCATAGTAGTTCCTTTTGGGGTTCATATATAGAATCCTACACGGTAAACCCAAAAAGGAACTACATACTATAAAGCCTCTGGGTAGCTTTATGGGCGCGTGTGTTGGGGTCCGAGCTTTGCAAGGCTCAGGCCATCGGGATGTAGGCGTTCGGGCTCAGAGTTCCCACACCCCCCGGAAGGATCCAGAAAGTGGAACCCCTTACAGTGAATCCCATAAAGTTGGAAACCGGATTAAGGCCAAATAGTGCTGCGATTCCCTATACATGACTCTTAAGCATTGAGGCTATTGGGTTTCCAACTTTATGGGGTTTACTGTATTTTGAACCCTAAACTACTCAAGGTCACTGTATAGCAACCTGGTTACAGGATCCACTTTTTCCGATGGGTCTGGGGCTAGGCTTTAGGGAGTGGGGAGTACGGTGTACAGGACTAGGGAGCAGTGCAGGTCTTCAGGTTTGGGACATTAGGGTTCTCTGTTTGGGGGTTCATATTTAGAGTCCTATAAGGTTCTCCCCAAAAGGAACTACTATGGAGCTATGGTCGGGTCTATAGGTTTTAGGGTGGGCATCTGAAACCCATGCGCGCTCAGCAGCATCACAATACTCACAACGGGTGGCGAGATCTCTGAAACCTTGCCCTCAGCCAAAGTCTAGGCCATGCTCCTAGACCCTCCATCTACCCTCTATAGACCCTAAATGCCCCTCATTTGGGACCATATACCCCTATTTGCGGGTACAAGGAGGGTCCTCGCTACCAGCATTGCAAACCACATGACATGCGAAGCCCAAAACCTCACGGCCACATAGACCACAAACCTCCCAGACCTCCACTCGAAACCCCGGATTTCATAAAACCTCAAAAAATTACACCCCACCCCTCTTTCAGGATACCTATAAGTCTCTGGTTAGGATGTGCTATTAAGTTATATTCAGATTCAAAGTAGGGTACCTTAAATAGAGGGCAAAACAGCGGTAGGCTATGAGCCTCCTGAACCCCAAGACAACCCTAAACCCTAAACCCAAGAAAGCCCTCCCCAGAAACCCCCACTGCAAACCCTCGGAGTCTGGCCTTCGGGCGAACCAGCTCCTTGAAAAATCCTTTGACCTCGCATTTGGCTAAGGTTGGTTTAGGATTTAGGTCATTTGGTTAGGGTTCGTTTAGGATTTAGGTCATTTGGTTAGGGTTTCATTTAGGATTTAGGCTTGTCTCTGCATAGGGTGGGCGGAGGTTTTGGGACGGAGGTCCATTCTTTTTTGAACGCCTAAAACGATGCCAATGGTGACCCCCCGTTCCTTATAACAGCGGCAGGATGGTGCAACTGGTGGCCTGGCAGGGCGACATCCTCGAACTCGACATTCCCAGACCTTCCAAAATCCCTTAATTAAGGAATATACCTTAATTCATATTTGGGATCCTATTATAATTTAAGGTATATTCCTTAATTAAGGGATTTTGGAAGGTCTGGGTTGTCCCCAACAGATCTGAGGTGCTTGAGCTGCTCTGGATCAGCCGCATAGGCACGTGACAACGTCTCACCACGAACCTCCACTTCCCCGACCTCGAAGGTCTTGAACTCTCGGCTCACCTCATCGAGGATGACGGTGGAGAGCTCTCCTGCTGGCAATCCTTGATCCCAGGTTTTCGCGCTCTGCGTCTTCGCCTCTTTCACTTGGAATCCGGCGTTTGGATCAACGCTCAGACCCGCGCACACAGACCCGGGATCCAAGGTAGCCTTGGTGTCCATGGTCACATGATCCACCAGCCCTAGATAGTCCTCTGGCAATTTGCTCAATTAGGGTTTAGGGTTTAGGATGGACTGCAAATTAGGAATCTGGGGCGTCGGGTGTGAAATTGCTTTGGCTTCGTGGCAAAGGTGCCGAAGGATTCGAGACCGGGTTTAGGCTTTAGGTTTTAGGCTGAGCCTCAAACCTGCTACCATCCCTTTAAGCCTTTCGGGTTGGGGATGTGGGTAGTTCTCTAGATTCGGGCCCCTTTCCAGGTTCCAAAAGCCATGGCACCCTTCTGAAACAGACCCTAAACGCCTGGACCCCACAACCACCTTCTACTATACCTTACATACCCCTCCACACCGTTTAGGGTTTAGGGTTTGGGTCCAGGACCATAAGAGAGCGCTGTCCTGGTTGGACCCTGATTTCGAGAACAACCCAGAATCTTCGGCTCTAGCCACCCAGTCCCCAACCTCGATGCTCGACGCCCCCCCTCCAAAAAAAAGCACACTACAAACTCTGGTCGTGGTTTAGGGTTTAGGATTAAAGCTTAGGGGGATTTAAAAGTTTAGGGTTCAGGAGTTTAGGGGTTTAGGGCTTATAGGGGTTTGGGGTTCAGGGGTTTAGCGGTCTAGGGTTTAGAGGTATAGGGCTTCAGGGGACAAACACTACTAGGGTTTGGGGTTTACACGCAACACTTTTCCTCGAGCCCCTGAGCAGCAAGACGAACTCCAAACCCTTCAGGCTCAGCAAACCGCATCTCCTAAGCTGCATAATAGGGTTTAGGGTTTAGGGTTTAGGAAACCTCAATAAGCCATCTGGAAACCAATTTGAAGCCCTTCTGAAGCGCGGAGATAACCTCTCTTCCAGCCCTCCCCCGGCTCGAAATACAACAACCAACCCTAAAGCCTAAACCGCCCCCGAAACCCCCTAAACCGCCTCAGCCGTAAACCCTCATCCTCAAACCCCTACACCCCCAAGGTCCCTCAACCCCTAAACCCCCAAAAGCCTCAAGCCCCCTGGAGCCCTTATAGGAACCCCATAGATCCCTTAAAAGGAACCCTTTAAAGGAGCCCTTATAGAACCCTATAGATCCCTTAAAGGAAAGGAACCCGTTAAAGGAGCCCTTATAAAACCCTATAGACCCCTTGAAGGAACCCGTTGAAGGAGCCCTTATAGAACCCTATAGATCCCTTAAAGGAACCCCTTCAAAAGAGCCCTCAGAAACCCCCGAAACCCTGGGAGGCCTCCGAGAAGGTCCCTTCAGTGACGATGGCCGGCGTCTGATAGAAGTCCAACCAGGCGATGGCCCAGCCTTAGGGTTTATAGGGTTTATAGGGTCTTTTGGGTTTAGGGTTTAGTTTCTTTTTTTATGTTAAGGTTTAGGGTTTAGGGTTTATAGGGTTTTAGGGTTTAGGGTTTAGGGATGGCCCAGCCAGACACCCCCCCCCCAAGGGCCATTTCATAGAGAGCTGATGGTCTTTAATAGTGGGCATATAAAGCAAAAAAAGGAACAGTTGGGGGATCTAAGGGTTTGGGGGCCCATTATACTACTGTAGTATACTGTAGTTATACTAAGGAAGCCCCAAAATAGTATAGGTAATTATTAAGGCCCCTTATAGTAGCTAGGGGTTTAGGGTTTAGAGTTTGGGAGTTCGCGGAGTCCCGGGTTCAGGGTTGTAGCTTTGGTGTTTAAAATAGGGACCCGAAAAGGCACATAAGCATCAGCATTTTGTGGGGATATCCCTACCTTATGGGCTTCCTTTTAAAGGGGGTTTATATGGGACATCCCTATCCTAATTTTTGCTTATGTGCTTTTTTGGGGGGCCTAGTTTAGGGTTCGGGGTCTGGGGTCTAAGCGGCCAACCCCTTGAGTTTTTGCTAGGCAGGGCTTTATATGGCTCGTTACGGGCTCCTTGAAGGGATTCTGTGAGGGCTCCTATATATCTCTACAAGAGCTTTCCTGCATGTTGGGGCTTGCTGGGCTTGTGATTGAGGGCATCCATACTAGTCAAACGTGTTACTTGCTTCTTTTGCCTCTCTTTTGAGCAAGGGGGATGGGAGGCCTTGTTAAAACAGTTTGTGTCTATCACTTTTTGCTGGGTGGAGGCCGGGTCACTGAACCCTAAGCCCTATGCCCTAAACCGTATCGAAACCCCAAACCCTGAACCCTAATCAAACTCACCACCAACCAGGACCCCTCAAGTGCACTTTAAAACAGCCCTTGTGGTCCTTAGTCATGCGTATTTATGGTATAACAGAGGGTAGGTGGGGGTCTAGGAAGGTTCCCAGTTTCGGCCGTCTGCTCCCAGCAGCCCATCGCCCGAAGAGCCCAGACTGCGTAATATAGTGGCCTTAATAATTAGAATAGGGTTCCTTTAGAGGGGGTTACTACAAGAGATAAGGGATCTATGATAGGGTTCTAATATAATAGTGACCTTGCTAATGGAATAGGGTTTTGGGCCCCATTTCCTTGTACTTATAATAAGAAACCCCGCAATAGTATTGGTCATTATTCAGGCCCCTTTGGTAATTTCTGAAGTCGTGCATAATCCCCCCACCATAGGAAGAAGAAGGCAAGGAAGAAGTCCCATATCATGGATTATGATCGAACTCTTATGCCATGTATACACCAATGTAGACCCTGATGAATAAGCACCCCTCCTCCCTTCTCAATGGGTGTAGTGGGCAAGGGGTCTACCTTGAGGTCGACTCCTTATCCCTGAGGCTCTAAGGACTCATATAGTAAGGCTTTTGGGCCCAAAGACCATACTATATAAGGCTTTTGGGCCAATTTGAGCCTCAGGATATGATTGAGCGTCAGAGTTTCTTAATGCAAAGGCTGCCTACAGCAGGGATCCTACTCTTTCGGGTCTGTAATGGGGGCGCTGATGTTCTGATAAAGCTCCCATCAGGGCAGGGCGACTTCAATATTTTACTCTGGCACCCGATGCCTGGAATTAATATAGGAACCTTAGTCAGTACTTGGAATAGGGTTTGGGGGGGGGAGGGGGGCTCCTTGATGTAATAATAGTACAATGCATCCCCAAACCCTCTTCTCATTGTTGAGGCCCCTATGGTATCATCCTAATTACTTGTGTCATCATGTAGCCTGGACCTGAGGCCCACAAGAACTTCGAAATTGAAACAACGCCCGGCCATTGGAGGAACCATGTTGAGAAAAGCCCTAAACCCTAGACCCCAAAGCCTAGAACCCGAGAAGAGAAAACCTGTACTATTCTGGGGGGTTCCTTATTATCATTGCCGTATAGCGGGCCCAAAAAACCTATTCTAATTTACCTCGAACCCCAAACCCTGCAACCTTACGGTTGATGATATAAATCCTGCATTACCCATATTAAGGAATATGCAATGATTCCAATTTAGAGCAACCTTATGAAAGCCAGGAAACCATGGGCAATGCGCACTGGCATAGAGTTGGACCCCATGGCCTGAGCGCTTGCGGTTCCCAGAGCCTCCGAAACCCCTTTATTAAGGAACATATATACCTTACCCTATGCCTCCAGGGACCTTATTATGGGGTCCTTAAGGGGTCTAGGGCCCTCCTTGGAGGGATAGGGTTAAGTCATATTAGGAGAGGTTCTGGGTTTATGGGTCTGGGTATTTGGTTTAGGGTCCAGGGCTGCGGGTTTAGCTCCGCTTCTCTGCTGCGCTTTAAATCGCTCATGGAGGCTAGCCCTAATATTGTTTAACCCCTAACCCCTGAACAAACCAAAACCCTAGGCCCAAAGCTCTAAACCCCGAAACCCCAAATCGTAAACCCTAAACTCATTACTTCAGACACCTTAAAGTTCAGTAGCCATGTTTCAAACGATCCCAACATGACCTTGAACATCTCGTTAGGGGTACTTGTAAGGCTTCCTGTAAGGGTTCCTTTAGGGCTTCCCTTTCAGGGCTTCTTTAAGGTTCCTTTAAAGGCTGCCAAAGTTGGCCCTGATCTAACCCGACCTGACCCAACTCGACACTTCTACCTTTTTACCAACCGGCAAGTACTTCTGCCCCTACAGTCTGCCAGGCCCCGAAATTAAGCCCTAAACCCTAAACCCCTAAACCCTAAACCCCTAAACCCTAAACCCTCAACGCTTAACTCCAAGCCCAAAACCTGAACCCAACGTCTGAACCCTAAAACTCAAAGCCTGAACCCCCTCTACAGCCTAAGCCCTATCGAGTCTAGGATGCCCAGTAACCTAGGATTAAAAAGGGCTCCCTTTTGGGTATTGGGTAACTGTATAAGGAGCCTAGGACTACAAAAAGGAAATAAGGGTACTACTGGGCATCCTAGGTGTGATGCCAAGTGCCCGGCTGCAGTTTCCGCCTTCGGTGTCAGGCCACACGAGAAGTTTGCTGTCGATCTTCCGACACTTCGAGCCACAAGGTTGCAGCGTCCTTCTGTGGGGTTAGGAGACTAGGGATCCTAACCAGTACCCACTGTAGGGCTTTGGTGGAGGCAGCTTCGGAGACTAGCGATGTGGAAAAAATTCTGCACGGATTAGGGCTGAGGATTCAGATTGCCAGCTTGGGATTTACAATACAAGTATGGAAGTTTCCGAAAATAGGGGACCCTAATATAGTACATAGAAGGATCCTTATTATGAGGACCCCAAAATGCGGTACCCTAAGTTTCGGAAATTCCCGTATAGGGCTTAGGGTTGAGGGTAGACTCTGAGCTTGAGGGGTGTAGGTTTTAGAGGTCGAAGTCTTAGCTTTGGCCGGAAACTCTGCTCGGATTCGTGGTACCATAGGTCCGACCCGTCTCCGTAGTGATGCAACCATGAAAGGGGGGGTAAGTTTAGGGTTTAGTTTACATGGTAAGTTTCGGGTTTAGCTTACATGGTAGGTTTAGGGTTTAGTTTGCATGGCAAGTTTAGGGTTTAGTTTACATGGTAGGGTTAGGGTTTAGTTTACATTGTAAGTTTAGGGTTTAGCTCACATGGTAGGTTTAGGTGTTAGTTTACATGGTAAGTTTAAGGTTTAGCTCACATGGTAGGTTTAGGTG